GTCAATTTGGAAGGTGGGATATTCATCATCTGGCCCTGCATCAGATCAAGGTTGCTGAAGACATTTTCGAGCCTGCTACGAAAGAGTACACAGCAATGGTTGCCGAGATTATTGCTAAGGAGATGTGGCAAGGGGCAATGGGAGGGTCCGATGTTCTTGTAATTGAGAAAGACTCAGTTACAGCTAGCCCCAAACCAAGGGGGAGATTGAAGGGTCCATGTTATGGTTTGGGCTAGGCTTTGGATGTGTAGGTCATTTAGTATTGTAATAGAAGTATTTTGGTATGTTTACGGCCAAGAGTATGTTTACGGCCATAAACAAGTTTACGGCCATGACCCTGTTTACGGCCATGACTAGTTTACGGTCAGGTCTTCTTTCCTATATATAGGACCAGTCTGAGTCAGTTAGTAGTTGTTGATTGATAGTAGTTTACGGCCAGTCAGAGTTGTACCAGACGTTTCCTTAATACAAACATGTGCAAGCTTTGATTCATTCTTCTTCTACTCAATTCTCTTCTTGTTTGATTGTTAGATTGTGTGACAACCCGAAACTTTTATCCCGTACAATTGATCTTTAAATCCATATTAAATTCGATTCTTATCATCATTTTACGCTATTTAAGGGTCCATTTAAGTGTTCTAAGCTTGAGTACAGTTGGGAATGAGATTAGGAATGAGTCAACATATCATTTGGAAGCAAAATCGGGCCATACACCCTCATGAGAGGTGTGTACGGCCGTACACACGGGTGTGCGGCCGCACACCCACCCTCCAGCCGCACACTCCTCCTCATATATATAAGGAGACCCCCTACACTCATTTCTTTCTTTTGGCTGCACTCTACTTTCTCTCACTACTTTCTCTCTCTAAAAACTTCATCCAAGAACACTCAAAAGGCCTCAAAAACATGAACTACTCCATCTTTCAGCTTGTTATAGTGGTAAGACACCTGAATCTAAGCCTAAAACTCATAGTGTTCATCGTGTTCTTCATCCTTTGAAGGTGTACGGCCGCACACCTTCATAAGGTGGTCGCACACACACTAAAACTCTCCAAAGTGAAGAGTTTGGCCTTCATTTACTAGTAGGACTTAGTATTTGCACAAGAACACCTCAAAATCGACATTTCGGGCACAAATGAGGAGTGTACGGCCGCACACTCCTGTTTACGGCCGCACACACCCTCTGTACGGCCGCACACTCCTGTGTGCAACCGCACACGCAGCCTGGCCGCACACCCACTCAAATGGCCGTACACCTCCCTTAATTGATCATATAGGGTCCCGACAAGCAATTCCAAGTCTTTAGGGTGGTTTCCCGTCATGTTTAGCCATAAAACACCCTAATTCTAACACACATATGTGTTATCACATGTTAATAGGATCCACTTGCGTACTAAACATCGGTTAACACTCAGCATTCGTAACCGATCATACACCCAGATCCTACGTCAAACGGTGAGTTCATACCCCTACGCTTTTTCCTAGTTTTTTTCATGTTTTCAGGGGGGGAATACAAGCAAAAGTACAAGGACACTTGTGCTCAAATTATCTCATTTTGCATAAAATGATTTTATGTTCAATATGCTTTTAACTCAGAAAACCGTTTTACCAATCGATTAAGGAAATCAACTCGTAGAAACAGTTTTCAAATCTAAAGCAAGAAACTTGTGAATCACGTAATAATATGTATTATTTTATAAAGGATTCATGCAAATCATAAACAGGATTTTCGATATTGTTACTTGTAAATTCGTTAGGCTAAGTTTGAGACTTGTCCTTGGTAACACTCCCTCGGATTCGTGAGTGGAGGACTACGACTTATAACCAGAATCTCTTGGAGGGAGAGCGTGACTATTGTGTACAGATCTATATGGGACTGACTATCCCGCACCTTCGCTGCTAGCTGCAGCGGGACCGTTAGGTTCAGGGGTGACAAAGTCATAAAAAGATATTGGCCCTTTTACGTGCCTTATCCAGTCTAAGTACGGTTATGGCACTCACAACTTAGATAGCGGAAATTTATATTCGAAAATACGGCTAATATACTCCTCTGGGTGTAACCAGAGCTTCGAAAATACGGCTAATATATTCCTCTGGGTATAACCAGAGCTTCGAAAATACGGCTAATATACTCCTCTGGGTGTAACCAGAGCTTCGAAAATACAGCTAATATACTCCTCTGGGTGTAACCAGAGCTTCGAAAATACGGCTAATATACTCCTCTGGGTGTACCAGAGTTTCGAAAAGAAAACTGCTGTCCGAGTATGGTAAATACTCGCATAATGGATAACTTAACCTTTCATAAACAAGATTGTTTAACGTGTAATCAATGGATCATCAAACCTCTTTCATAAGAAAATATAGGGTTTTCTTGGGAAACGACTTTTCAAAGAATCAAAGAAACATTTCTTTCACCAGAATTAAACGCTTATGAACTCACCAACTTTATACTGATATTTTAAAATTGCTTGTATTCTCAGGGCATCAATAGACAGGTACTCTTGCCGACTTTTGGAGGAGACAGAACATTCTGAAGTCACGTCTTTTACTTTTGCTATATGTTGTTATGTATAAATCATGTTTTTGAACAATGTAAATATTCATATTATAATGTAATGATTGTGTTTACTTCGCTTACTATGATACAACTGTTGTGATACTACGCATGACGTCCTCCGCCCCGGAACGTTTCCGCCATCGGTTTCGGGGTGTGACAGATTGCTTGATCACTAGATAAGATCCTGTTTCCATGACCTTGCAAGCTTTCTGCCTAGGTTGCTGGCAGAGCTTTTTGTTAAGACTTCACACCCCCAACAATTTTATTTCATAAATGATCTAAAATTACTATCTTACTCGTAATTTGATTATTTTCATTACGTTTTAGAAAATTTATACCTTTTTAATTTAACTTAATTTCTTTTTTTACTAACTTGAATAAAAAGGAAAATAAAATAAATTGTTCCTCTCTCTCTCTCTCTCTCTCTCTCTCTCTCTCTCTCTCCTAACACCACCATTATCCACCTTCTCACTAGCTTTTTCTCTCATCCCTCCCCTCCTCCCTTATCCTGTCTCATCTTTTAAGTTGGAGAAAAGTCATCGACGTGCTAAATATGCATCTTCGACGTCCCTTTTTCTATTGTGAGCATATCAATTATATAGTTTTGATTTTAAATCACATGCCTTCATTGGGGTTTTTGGGAGTTGTTTTTAATTTCTTGTTATAAAGTTGTCAATTCAAAATCAAAACGTCATTGAATTTAGGGTTTTGTTTATAGGGTTCCTTTTTTCTTTCTTCTATTTTCTAGGTTTATTGTTGCATTGAGAGAACATGTGTGATGTCAGAGGTAACCCATGACCATAAATTATCCATTCTATTGTACAAAAAACTTAAGACCTACGAATGAAAACCTCAAAATCTACAAATGGAGCCTGCAAATCGAACTACAAACTTGAGATGATGGAGGTTGGTGGTAAAACAAAGTAGAGAGACAAATAATCGACAATGATGGTTGGGAGAAAGTGTTCCGACGACATCATACGCATGTGGATTAAGGGTGGTCGCTAGAGGTGGTAGTTCTCGACACGACGCGAAACACGACATGAACCGAATATGTAAATAAACAAGTTTGGGTCAGAAATTTCAACTCGTTTAATTAAACAAGTTGACATGATGCACCATGAAAATTAAACGAGTAAGGTTAGTGTCGAAACTTTCAACACGAAAATGACATATTTATTTATATGCAACTTCTTTTAATATTTCGGGTAAAGTCGGTATGCCTAAACCAAATCCAAATGTAAAAAAAAACATTAGTTTGAGTCGTTTTGTAATGTGGAAGTCATTAATTAGCCACCTCGGTCAATACATATTTTAGTTTCACCTTTTCATTAAAATATCATACTTCATAATCTCACTTGTCTTCCCCTTCAATATCTACTTCCCCATTGGATATGACTTCCATTGTCTAAACTTAATGTGAATTTCTCTCCTCTGCCTCCCAAACTATTATCACTTTTTTGCCACCTCTCAAACTCCTACTCTTTGAATTTACCAAACTATTATCACCTTTTTTCCACCTCTCAAACTCCTACTCTTTGAATTTATTTAATGTTCTGCCTCCCAAACTATTATCATCTTTTTTCCACCTCTCAAAATCATACTTTTTCGATTTATTTAGTGTTTTAATCTACCACAACATGACATATTTACAAAGTTTAATCTAAATCCTAAACTTGCCAACCCGACACGAACTCGATACGAAAATAAAATTGTTAACACGACATGAAAATTAAACAGAACCGAATTAGGATGAAGTTATGTCAACTCGTTTAAGTTTTGGCAGAAAATGAACACGACACATTTGACATGCCTAATGATCGTTAGAGATGGTTTGAGGTGTAGGAATGACATCGTACATCAGAAAAGAAAAAGGTTTTAGGTTGCGGTGTGATGTGGTGCGGTTTCATTTAAAGTTTGTTCTACTTTTAATAACATAAATTTAATATTCTATAAATGAGAGGTCGTTGGCCTAGCGGTAAGAAATGATCCTCTCAAATTAGAGGTCATGAGTTCAAGTCTCTTCGGAGATATAGATATAGGTGATATTTAGGAGTAGGTATAGATAGTTTGCCGTTTAAAAAAAAACAAATTTAATGTTATTTTACACATGTAAATAACCAATTATATAAAAAAATGATTAATAAAATCATTGAGACCAAATACATAACATATTTAATAATCGTCTATATCATACAATTTTTTTTTAATAAATGATATGGACCAAATTTTGTCAAAAACAAATAAATTTGTGAAAACTATTTTTTTTAATAAACGATATGGACCAAATCGTCTATATCATACTATTTTTTTTTTTAATAAACGATATGGACCAAATTTTGTCAAAAACAAATAAATTTGTGAAAACCATTTTTTAATTTTAGCCGATAATATTGCGAAAACTTTTTTTTTTCAAATTAAAACGGTTGATTTTTAACCAAACCAAAATAGAAAGCATCGTTGGGTACAATAAATAGCATAGCAAAACCGTCGTCAGTGTCACCAGCCACCTTCGCCGCCATCCACTGCCGAGAAATTGTAGCCACTACTACCATCGCCATGATAGGTGGGTGACATGAACACTATCCATCGTCACAAACACTGAATCATCGCGAACCCTCTTCAGAATTGCGAAATCCGGCGCGACTGCTTTCTCATCCTCCTGGTGTCTAGCTCCACTGATTGTGAACTTCTGGAGACGAATCCTCTTGCCGCAAAACTCCAGTCACCTTTCATATCAATCCTAACTCACTGGGACTCTAAAAGGAAGACGCTGCTGTTGCGAAGCTACAGTTATCGTAAAACCCTAGCCGCGGTGAAATCTGTAAAGTTTGAGAATTTTTAGGGTTTCTGTCGAGGATTCTGCTATCGCTTGCGAAATCCTTACCAGTGAAGCATCTTCCAGTGCTTATTTTCTCTTCCGGTGTCGATTTTTATCCAACTCCAAGGCAAGTACATCTGGTGTTGTACATCCATACATACATAATCATCATCTTCCCCCAAACAATATTCTATTCCTTTAGAAAAGCTAACAGTAAAATAGTTTTAAGTTGTTATGGAGATCGACCCTCCACATGAAAGCGATGGAAGCACCACCGGATCAAAGGAAAATGAGATGGCTGTGGTGTTCGATAGCTCAGGTATTGGTTTGCCATATGCCCCTGAAGATTTCCCTCAACCTGGTGACAAATGGGGTTGGAAAGTGGGAAAAAGAGTCGGTGTTTCAGGGCACTTCATAGACAGATATCTTTATCTCCCTGATCGTCTTCACAAAGAAAACAAGTTAGTAGGTTTCTCTGGTGTCACTTGTGGCAAGGGTTTCGCTAGCAAAGCTTCACTTGAAAGGTATTTAATGGAAACATTTCCAGGAATGGATATCAATGCTTTCTTTTCTTCCTTCACTTGGAAGATCCAAGCTGCAAACATCAAAGGTAACTCAATTATTCATACTCTAGTAGATGTAAACTGCTTTAATTGTTTTCTACAAAATCAAACAGGAAACAAAGAAATCATAATGGAAACTCCAATCAGCTATCAACAATTCGATCCAGCAGGGTGCAAAGCAGGAAACACAAACTGCTCAAGTCTAAGACTACTTGAAACAAACAACCCAATATACCCTTACACAATGCCATGTGACATCTGTTGTGTAGAGCCTTATTTCTGCCATGATTGTTGCTGTATACTTTGTTCTAGACCTGTGAATTCCTCCATTAGTGACTACAGTTTCATAAAATGTGAAGCCATGGTGAACCAGAGCCATGACTTCATTTGTGGTCACATTTGCCACATAGAATGTGGTCTGCGGTCCTACATGGCTGGGACCGTGGGTGGGACCATCGGTCTGGATGCTGAGTATTCATGCAGGCGGTGTGATGCCAGGACTGACCTGGTCCCACATGTTGAGAAGCTTCTTAGGAGCTGTGAGAGTATTTGTGATTGTGATAAAGTTCAGAAGATATTAAATCTTTGTATTATTATTTTGAGGGGGTCCACCAAAGCTAGTGCTATGAAGCTGTTCAATCATGTTCAATCTGCTGTTGCAAAGGTATTTTGTAAGAAATAGCAACATACTTTCATATATTTGTTATCAGTTTTTTTTGTTTTATTTTTTTTTTTTTTTTGTTTTGGGGTAAATCCGTAAATGCAAGAAATAGCAGCTTACTTTGTTTTTTCTGATTACAACATTGTACTTTTGAAAAATGGTTAATCTCATAAAAGAGTAAAACACCTAATATTTTGTGGTTTTTTCCGGATTAAACCTCATCTTTTATTTTTTTTTCATGAAAAAGATGTTATATTTTTTCATTTTTTCCGAAAAAACCCTCAACTTTGTCTTCTTTTCCGAAAAAAACCCTCATCCTTCTAAATGTTTCCAAATAAATCCTCAACTTTTTTAGTTTTTCCTGAAAAGACCCTTGCATTTTACAACTTTTTTTAGAGAAAAATGACTAAAAGGGCCGGATCGGAAAAAATGAAAAAATGCAAGGTCTTTTTCTTGAAAAAAAATAAATTTGAGGTTTAATCCGGAAAAAACACAAAATATAAGGTCTATTATGAAATTAACCCTTTGAAAAATCTACATAGTGCTATAATTGGGTAGATCTTTTAAAATATAATGTTCTATTTTTAAATAAATATTTATTTGAAAGTATATGTTTGTTGTTGTCAGCTTAAAGAAGGGAATAGTCATGAAGATATATGGAAACGAGAAGACATGTCAGCTGTTACCACAGGTGCCTTGTATGTACTTTTTTTATAAATAAAATAGAAACCCATGAGCCTATTGATTCCAATTTCTTGTATGTACAAAAGACGTAAATACCCTTCTCATCTTTATCGTCAGGAATACCATAGAAAGCTTGTGTGTAATTTTATAATTTATCCTACCCAAAAAGGTGTGGGTCAAGGACACTTCTGATCTCTTGTCTGTGCAAAAGACATAAACGCCCTCCTTATCATTTTCGTCAGTATTAAAAAATCATACTTTTTTGTCCTACCAAAAAACGTGGAACAGAGTAGGTCTATGTAAAAGACGTAAACACCCTCGAAAACATCATGATCTCACAACACCATTATTTTCTTTAATCAAAACTTCAATTTTGCATCATTCAGGAGATCTTTCTCAATATGAAACCGATACATTTGAAGTTTCAAATTTTGCTCCTTCACAACGACAAATTTCCTTCACAAATTTTGATTACCGAATAGAATCCATGGAGCTCGAGAAAAAGATCAATAAAACACTCGCCTCACTAAAAAAGTCTCAAGAAACCGAGTATAAAATTGCCGAAAACGCCCTCACGGCTCAAAAAAACCATCTTTTAGATCTTTACAAAGAGCTTGAGAAACAGAAGGGCAAACTTGCCAATTGTTCCCCATCAGCCGACCCGTCTTTAGTCCATGCTGTTTTCAAGAAAATGGATGAGATAAAAACCGAGTTTAATAAGATTATTGCAATGCAAGTGATTGGTAAAGGGTTTGGGAAAACATCTAAATATGTATTGAAAGAGCATTTTGGGATGCATTCTGATAACTAAGAAGATTTAATTTTGTGATTGGGTGTGTAGATTGATGTAAGGTTGATTTTTGAACCAAATAACTTAAGAGAGATTGTGTATGTGAAGTTAAATGTTGTAGTGAGTTATGGATGTATGCTTGTAAAGGTAATATTAAAATATGGATAATGATTTAGAGACACCCAAATTGATGGTTCTTAGGCTTGTTTCCTTTCTTTTGTCCAAATTTTGTGTGGATTTAAGAAAATGATGATATGCCTTGGTGATAAGTAAAAAATATGTCAAGGGGAAGTAGTCATGTGAAATAGAATGTTGGGAAATTAGAGTATTTTCGCAACATATTTTTGTTATTGAGATGACAAACAAAATGTGAGATGGTGAGAGGGTACACCCATCAGTCTAAGACAAATTTGTGAAAGGTTACATCTTAAATGTGGAAAATCCATGTGGGTTAGCTATGTAAAAACACCTAACGTTAGGATTTTTATTTATTTATTTATTTTTTCGTTTCAACTAAAAGAAGTACAAACTTATTTTATACAATTATAGAAACTTTTTTTACAAACTTTTTGTGAAAACTTATTTTAGATCTTTTTATAATTTTTGTACGAACTTTATAAAAAGTTGTAAATCATTTGTTGTCGTGAATTGTGTTTTCATCAGAAATTTCTATGAAAAATCACTTGTGGTCATGAATTGTGTTAACATGAGAGAAGTTTGAATAAAAACACAAATAGGTAAATGGTTAATCTACCTCTTCTAATAAACAAAACTCAATATTGCCACATGTCCCTGTTCTACAATGTTTATTTGCCACGTGGCATGTTCTAATCTTATTCCCGCCTATTCCTTTTCTTCCTTCGTTTGCATATCATTAAATATGATTTTTTACCTCTGTCTAGCCTTATTTTTTGTGGTTTAAATTTGATTTCAAATCAAACATTAAAAATCTAAGCAAAAAATCAGGAACTATATAAGGAATCTAATATATTTTGCATCCATTCCCATTCATAATTTTTACTTAGATGTCTGTAGCCAAGAAATAAGGGATGTAATCTCCCGAACTTTGTCAAGATCCCAAGATTTTAGGAACAAATTAATTGCATTTAATTACATATCTCAATCAAATTGCTTTTTTAACTCTCCCTCTTAATCGATTGCTTTTGTGTGACGAGTCGGTCTCTTGATGAGAAATCGATCTAAAATTTCTTTTTCTGATGTGGATACCAGGAAGGGAATGTACTCACAACATTGGAACTGCTCGGTTCTAACCTTTTCTTTCATGTCTTGGATCTAAACCTTTTTTTCCACTTCGGTAATATTGTTATGCAGGTCTTTGAGTCATGAACCAGTACATAAATGGTCGATGGTTTTCAGAATGCAAATCTATCTACGATAAAACTACCGATTTTTCGAATTCAAACTACCGTTTTTTTTATTACGGGTCGATAAAACATGAAACCCACGTGTTAAACAAAATGTCTCAAAGTGATACATCGATGGTAGATATGTCTACCTTTTCAGAAAACCCTTCGACGGCCTCACCGACGATGATATATACCTCACGATTGTCTGCATGCTCTCTCCAGGTAAACATAAATAATAGTTCGATGGCTTTTTAATTTCAGTTTATGTTATTTGCTTACGAAGTATAGTTTTTTTATGAAATAATTGGCAGCCGTTAGATGTTTCAGTAAGATTGTTGATTAGTGATGATTGTTAATTAGTATTCATCGCATCCACCTGCATTATTGTTCTTCAGTGGCCACTTCTTAGCACTTCTTAGCAGGTAATAACTCATAGATTTAAACCGATGATAAATATGTGATATAAAATTAGGTCAAATGGATAAAGATATTATCAACTAGAAAGTGGTCTCGAGCAATATGGTATGGAATCCCTTCAATGCTTGTAATTAGTAACCAACTATTATTTTGGTACAAACTCCATTTGCCTTTGCTACAAGAACTACAACTAGAACTAGATCTGATGTTGTTGGCGTTCCGAGACAAGATGATTTTGAATGTTTTTCAAGATTTGAAGTGCTAACCCTCAACAAAACGGTATTATTTTGCAATCAAAAATAAATTTTATCTAATATAAGCATAAATCATGTGAAAATGAATGTAGAAAATTCAAGTAAAGGAGATCTAGGAGTTTTTAAAAGTAGCAAAAGTGATACTAATTTGAAGATTACTAGCAGAAAATTGGTATTTTTTTTTGCGTATTCTTCATAAAAATTGTGTGCAAATTGCTTAATACGTTTTGGTAAGACTTAATACAGAATGATTAGAAATTCCTAAACTTAAACTTCTTGGGTAAGACACATTATGGAGTCATATTTGGCTCTTAAGCCATTGCCAATGGATCACTAAAGGAATATTAACATGATTGAACTTCTTTGGTAATAATTAGTAGACTAATTAAACATATAACTTTATAACAAGTTTTGCGAATAGAAAAATGTTGATATTATATCTACACCAACATTCACGTGAAACTATAATTTTTTTATTATGAAAAATACTAGGTTTCACACAAATAGTTAACATATTCTCTGGGACAAAGTTATTGTGAACCAATTAGCTACCCGGATAATACTGATTTTAAATATGATTGTTGTTTACAAAGGAGCAATGCAAATATGAAAATTTGGAAACTATTAAAAGCTTTTAATTTATCTTTCATCGTTTTATAATAAATCGATGTAAGAATAATATATATGAACTTTAATCTTGTATATTTGACATAGTTTGTTTTTTTTGCAGATTGGCATAAAGCAATGGAGATATTGATTTTAGTCCCAAATGTAGTGTTTCCACAGATATTTATTCCAAGAACTGCCATGAGAGTGTTTTTATGACTTTGGTCATTTATGTACACGATTATTGATGCCAAAACGTTCAGTTTGTTTTGCTATGACCATAAATAAAAGTTTGAAAGGTTGGGTTGTTTTTGCGAGAACAAGTTTTCTCACATAGTTCGTTATATGTTGCTATGTTGTTTTATCCATACTAAGTTAAAGTTAGATAAGTAAAGTTGTTTTATCCAAAGTAAAGAATAAAGAGGAGAGAAGAATTGAAATTATTGATTTTAGATAAGTATTATGTTTATTTCAAAATCTACGTTTATTTTTACTTATCAATTTAATTCATGATTGCTTACAATAAATCCAATGCATTTTTTAAATTTATTAATTTTTTGTGTCTATATAATTTTTTATTTTAATCATACCGACCGTGGTTTCCACGGGTTATAACCTGGTTTCTTAATACCGATATTATTTTTTGTTTAAGTCGTTCATTTGGTCAGGATTCAAAGCGCTTAAGGGATTGCCTCATGGTTTTGGACCTAAACTTCTATTATATAATTTCCCATGTGGGTTTCTTTTCCGGACGCTGCTTTGTGTAAAATGTCAGTCGTCTCATTTTGCAACCAACAAATCGACTATTTTTTTTTCTATTAAATGCCTTCCTATTTATCTTATTTTATTTTTCGTAATAATATGCATTTAAAAACTAAGTTCTACATTTTCGTAAAAATCTACATGTTTATTGCATAAATAAATCATTAGTCATGAAATGTAATCAATGAGCACGAACCCATTTATAATATGTTTACCATGTGTGATTGGTAAACAGTTTGCACTAAATATGTATGAAACAATTTTAAATGTACAATTTTTTTAAACAAATCAAAAAAATCCAACTATTTTAGGAAATGATGGTCCGGTCTTTTGGTTACAAGAAAAGGAGTTTGTTTCGAGTCGATTGTTTGTATAAAACGGAACAAAACTTCATCAAATTCTTTATAATTGGTTGTTAATTGTTTTTAAGTTTAATTAGACTTTAGTTAAGGCATCTACAACTCAACGTCAAATCCTATATTTTACACAATTTTGGTGTAAAATTATCTTCAACTACACACCATTTTAGTGTAAATAAAAAGTATAACGCAACATTTTGTGTTATACTATTCCTTTACACCAAAATGGTGCAAAACTTTCATATGTTACTTTTGGTTGGTTTATAAAATTGATAGGTATATAATAAATATAATAATTATTCAATTATAATGTTATGTTATAAGTTGATATTAATAAGTTAATACTTATCTTAATATTTTGAATTTATTTGAAAATTTAATATTTTTTATTTAACAAATGTTGTTTTGATAAAATAACATCCAATTCGAATTAATAATATATATAAATAATTAAGTTTGTTAGAATTTTGTAATAATATACCTTAGAAAGTTTTTACATAAAAAAGATGTAAATAAATATATATAAAAAATAATGAGTTTAGAGTGTTTTTTTTAATAATTTATATGAGTTAAAAAGAAGAATATACTAAAGAATATATTTTTGGTGTATAAAAGTTGGAGATGAAATATTATTTGTACAGGTTTTTATATCACTTTGATGTAGGGTTGGAAAGGTCTTAGTTGTAATTGTGTTACATATAAAATTTCAAATCGTTCTTTATTACTATATATTGCAAAATTTTAATAATTTTATGTTTTACACTTCAAAGTCACTCACTGAATTTGTTATTTTATATTGCTTTATACAACAAAAATACCAAAAAACCACAAGCAAAAGGATCGACAAAACTATAGTCAAAAAGCTGATTACGTCGGACCAAAAACCGAAACCAAATACAACCAAAGATACGGTTTTTTTTTATTAAAAATCAAAAGTTTCTATTTAATTAAGATTTTAGACAACCAAAATATCAATACTTAAGTCGAAAAAATTTAGGGTATTTTGATTATACAATAGGAATAGGAAAACTATGACTTAAATATTTAAATTTTAAGGGAATCCTTTCTTCTGGCTACAACAATTCCCAAGTGCTACTACAATTTCCATTTTCCAATAAGAAAAAGCTGTCTAAAAGTGACAGTTGACTTGAACTCCATAAACTTCATCAGCTACTTCAGTTGTCGACATTTTTTCAATTATTTTAAGAGATCTCTTATTTTAATACATATAAACCAATTATCCGGTCACCCACAGAATTGTCCCTCGTATAGTGAAATAACACCATATTTTAAGGTAAATAGAAAGAAATATTCCTAAATGAAGTCCAACAAAAAGTCCAAAATTTGAAAATCTCGACACCATTGATATACACAACATGATCAAACTCGGTTTTCATAATTTCATAAACAAAACATAAATAAGTCCACGATCATGATCTTACACCACCTGTTTGAACCTGAGACCTCACTTACAGATTCTCACCTCGTTACTGTTAAGACAAGCATACCGGAAGGGACTACAAATCATCATTTCGGTGATGTGTGTGATGCTTGCGGTGGGATCTTTTATGTTTGCGGGTATGTTTTTTTGCTGACGTGGCGGGGACAGGGCGTCGAATTTCCTCGACACTTGGTGGGAGTCCAAATACGCAATCGAAAGGGTTTTCCATCGCAACGAAACCGTTGTTCATCTATACGTATTGTGAACATGAACAGGTCAGGACAGAACATGACATGACGACCTTGTACTGCGATTGACGTGCATTGTACTTGGACCGATGTCAATGGTACAAAAGTACAATTTTTACCCCACCCAAAACATAAAACACAGTAGTTGGTGGACAGATGTCAATAAGACAAAAATTGCAAATCTTTGTCCTTCCAAAAAGGTGTGACTGTACCTGTGATGTGTGATGTGACTGATGTCAATGAGACAAGACATTGAAATTTTTTCTCTTATAAAATATTAAATTGATCTTTCTACATTAGGTAAAAGAAATACTGACTGTTAAGTCCATTAAGTAAAAAAGAAACAGATACTCACAGGAACCGGTTTGCGTTCCGGAACAATGTTGTCATCATGATCATAGGATTCACGGGTATCGGGTCGTTGAGGATGTGGTGGACTTTCAACAAAGTTATTACGAAAACGCCACCTTGATTTTGGCATGTCCGATGTTGAGTCATCAAAAACATGCTCACAGTAGAAACGTTTGGATATAAGTTTTGTTGTTGTTGGATGATTTGGATACCTTCTCAACATTCTACACATAGGAAACACAAAAACATTTTTTTTTTTGGATTTAGTACTAAGTAGAAATATTCTATATTATCAAACATATTTGTTTAGGAAAATGATTAACTAACTCACATATTTGCCAACTCTTTTTGCATTCGGCTTCCATCCATGCAAAGAATTTGTTCAATGCATGAATTAACCGACTTCCTAAATCTCCATGTTGCAGTAATTGCAGCAGCTCCTAGAAAATCCTTAATAAATTATAAATTTATATTATGAAAATAGTAACAAGATAAATAAAGAGATTCCATTTTAATCAGAATAGCTAACTGAGTTTTCATCATAAAAAAAAACTTTCTCAATTTGAAGGAATTTCATCAATCTTTTTTACCAGCTGTATAAACTACTTTGTATGCTTTGGGGGGGGGGGGGGGGGGGGGGTCACTTACCTCCTGCAAGGTTGATGCGAAAGAGCCTATGAAGATTTCCAGTAGCTGTGAGGAAAAACAAGTAACACCATTATAAACTAAAATGTTTATAAACATATTATAATGTAATTTAAAGGAATATGGGAGAAATTAAATATCACAAAATAAATTGAAAATGTGCTTAGAATGTTTACCTGACCAAGCAATTGCAGCACCAACTCCTGCACCAACTGTGAGCTGTCTAAGTGTACTTTCCTTCCATGTCATAAGAAAGTTTGCTTCTTGAATTGATAACTTATCCTGAAAATATTTATTTATTAATCTTGATGATATGCATATCCAGACTATGATTTTTCATGTATTTTACATTCTGAGCAGAAGGCACATTTGGTTTCATATGGAAGAAGTATTATAAATAAATGCATTTACTTTGTCATTCCAAAAGGTATAATTGTATCCTATGATCATTTTCCACCTTAGCAAACTACACGTTTTGACAATTGATGTAAAATCTTCCAATTCATCCAGTTGAAATTGGTAATGATTTGTCAAGTTCAATCTAAATACAGCATTTCTAATACAATCCCTTTAAGATAGTTATCGACAGAACTTAAATAAGTTCATGGAAGTAGCAACCCTGAAGCAATTGTGCATAAATTGAAAAGTCAAGTGGGGATTTTTATCCCCTTAGATGTATTTTTCTAATCACTAGAAAGCAATCGGAATTCTCGGAGATAAAAACAAGTGGAACACTCACTGATCTGAACTACATTATCAGTGAAATTGTTTATGAAGAATTAACAAAGATTATAAACAAAGATAGAGTACTAGAAAACGAAATCACAGAAAGTAAACAGTAGTGCTATCCAATATTTCTTGTGTCTGTATAGAACGATGCAGATCATATGTGCAAATACACAAGTGTATAGAGTACCTTTTTGGAGCGGAGGACGTTTTCAAGGTCAATTAGGGATTCTGCCATTTCAATTTGCAAAGAAGCTCCTCAGAAAAACAAAAACCCTCTATGGAATCCGTTGGGGAAACCGGAATTGCCCGATAAGCAAGGTACGGAGCGTGGCACTTGGGGTCGGGTCGGATTCAATATATGACCCGTCAAATATTTGTATGATTTCATGTAAAAAATATGGAAAATGATTAACAAATGGTTGGTTTGGTTATTCTTTTTTTTTTTAGACAAAACTACAAGATTGGTCCCTGTGGTATTCAAAAAACTTTGGATAGGGTCCAAAAAGTTTTTCATTAGAAGGTCCAAAATCGTTTTTGGTCCAAAAAAACTTAAAAAGACGGTTATACCCTTATTTATTTACTTTTACATTTTTTTTTTACATTTTATTAACATTTCAATAATAATATAATAATAATAATAATAATAAAATGGGTAAAACTCTATCTCTCTTACGTCTCTCTCTCTCCTCTCTCTCTCCATCTCTCTCTCTCACTAAAACCCCAAAATAGGTAAAACTCTAATCTCCGATCTCTCTTACCCTTTCCCTCGATCCACAGGTTTGGTGATACGTTGAACAAGGTCATCATGTAAAAAGAAGAGAACGATGAACATGGTTCTATTGAATCTAATTGTAACTTGCAGGTGGTACCTGATTCGAAGAACATGGGTGTGGAGATGATGGGTGGAGGTGGTTGCATCTAATGCTGGTGACACGAACTTTGAAGGCGAAAGCAGGGCTTTGATTTCCCAGTAACATTGCTTTTCGTTATAAATTTCAAGTAGAATCCTTTGAGGTATAGGAGCAAGACTTACTCAATTTTAACTTTCTTCGATCAACCACAAGCGAGTTTATCAAATTATCTGTAAAGGTATGATTTTTATTTCAAGAACCATGAACAATCACCTTATTCTCTTTTGATGCTGTTAAAAAAACCTTGGCAGATGACGTTGGCACAAAATGTTGAGGATTACAGTGGGTTTGTTGCAAGGATGATTGTTGTAGGATCAAGTCAGTTAATAAAGGGGATTTTGTGGAGTGGGGATGTGACTATAGATCGATTAAAATGGGGAAACGAGTTCTTGAAGAAGGGGATGAAGATGTTAGAGGGCGTAGCAATTGGGATTCTTTCTAGTGTTGTGAAGGATCTTGATTAATCACAAGTTCTCTTGGAACTCCAAACCCAATAATAATTTCTTCAACTTTATCCATGGTGAAAAAGTTTTCAAGTATACGAGATCCAAACCAGAAAGAAAAGGAGAGGATATCTGACATGGATGTGTCGATGATGGAATCATTATCAGAGCACAAGGTCGAGGAGATCCAAATCAGAACACCAGATAAAGTGGGTGTCTTGCGATTCGATGAGAGGTATAGAGTGCTTGGGTTTGGCAGATTTTTGTGTTCATGTGCGTGTATATGTGTTTTGAGATCCCTGAATTAGGGTGAATTGGAAGGTTGTTGATCGGTTTAGTTTTAATGTATTGGAGAAGAAACATTTCAATCGAGGAGAGAGAGAGAGAGAGAGAGAGAGAGGGAGTGAGTGAGTGAGAGAGAGAATAAGTATTTTCTTTTCCTTTTATTTTTAAATTAAAATAGTATTTGAAAATAAAAAAATATATATAAAAAAGAAAGTAAAAGGGTATAACCGTCTTTTCATGTTTTTTTGGACCAAAAACACAGAAAAACCTTGATTTTGGACCTTCTATGCAAGTGAAAAACTTTTTGGACTCTATCCAAAGTTTTTTGAATACCACCGGGACCAATCTTGCAGTTTTATCTTTTTTTTTACTTAATATACCATTGAGCTTGTTGTTTATGTTCACCTAAACCATTGCGACCGGTTATTGTAGGTTATTGCTTATGTGGCTGTTACGTGTCATTATGTGGCATCTATGTGGCTTATTAAATGAAAGTCCTACGATATTAAGATGTTGTATGCTTCATTCTCATGAATTGTGCCCTAGATCGACATGGCTGCTTCTTCTTCTTCTTCTTCTTCTTCTTCTTCTTCTTCTTCTTCTATCTCTTCCAAATGAAATGTTGAATTTCAACCTCAATATCCTTGTGATTGTGGGTTACCATCTCGCGTACGGACTTCATGAACTAAAGATAATCCAGGAAAAAAATTCAGATTGTGCCTTAACTCCATGGTAAATCAAATGTTTTTTACTTTTTGGTTTAATCTTCTTCCTCTAACCAATTTGTTTATATTTTCCAATAATGAAGGTCCAAAATGAAAGTACTAGGAATGGTTGAATCCTGAAACCCCTGAAAATGACTTCAGTTCCATAAAAACAAGTGAAAAAGAACTATGCAATTTAACCCTGAAAGTTTCTACATTGGAAAATGAGATCCACATACGCAAGATGTTGATGGAACAACAAATTTTGGTTGTTACACAAGAGTTTGAAAAAGTGAAAATGGAAGCTATTTACTCATAAAGTTAAGATGCTTATGTTGTTTGTGTTTAAGAAGTAGTTAGTTAAAGTTGTGTTCACAGTTGTATTTTGACTAAAAGTTTGTGTTTTGATTAATGTTTTAAGACTAAATCTTGTTGATTAGTGAATGTTTGATGTTTTGTCTGGTTTGAAACAAATAATAATGTGTTAAATATGTTAGTGAATTGAACATGATCCAGGGGTAAAATAATCCGCATTAATCATAGCAGCAGCAGCCAACATTTCTTAATGTGTTATGACTGATTTGAAACAATTGTTTATGCCTTAATTGGGTTAGTCAATTGAACATGATCCAGGGATAAAATGGTCCAGATCAATAGCAGCAACAAACATTTCTTAATGTGTTATGACTGGTTTGAAACAATTATTAAGTAGGTTAGTCAACTGAACATGATCCAGGGATAAAATGGTCCAGATTAACCACAATAGCAGTAACAAACATTTTTTTAATGTGTTTTGACTAGTTTGAAACAATCTGAGGGTAAATAAGCAAACAACAAAGCATATAATCTAGATAAAAGGCAAATTAGTAAGATTCCATTAGCATGTGTACCATTAGTTGTGCTCACATTTGTTCTAAAATATTAAAAGATGTGCCATGACTAAAAGTTTGCCTAATTACATAAATAAAAGACTAAAAGTTTGTCTTCCCAAAAATATTAAAACTTATAATCATTCCAATGCATTGGGTGGTGATCAGTGATTTCTTCATTCTTCAAGACCGTCCTCCTCAACCCTTTCTTAGTAATTCCTTCTGCGTACTTCCTTATCCTCTTCCCAGTTGCAATAGGTTGAGCAGGAACTGCAACATCCACTTGAATTGCATCTTCCTCAGGCACTGCATCTTCCATTTGCACTGCATTATCCACTTGCAATGCATAATCCACTTGAACTGGATTCACTTGAACCTCCACATGAACTGCATCCTCCACTTCAACCGTATCTACTTGCACTCCATCCTCCACTTGATGTAACATCCGAATTCAGGTAATTCCCTTTTAAGTTTTTTTTTTTTGAAATTTAAGTTGGCAACAAGATCATCCTCGTATGTTGGGGATATGTACATGTACAGTTAGCATACTGAGGTGCGCATGGTCAAGAACCTGAGCCTCATACGCGGGGTGTATGAGGATATACGTGGGGCGTACATGGTCTGTGTCTAAAACCCTAATCTTTGGACTTGTCCCCTATTTAAACCCATTTATGGCCCTTGAACCCTCACCTTTATCAACCTCCTTACCTTTAAACGTCCCTAAAAACCCTAAATAGCTATTAGAGGTGATTTTGAGCTTGAAGTAACTAAAATGAGCCATTTTTGGTGTGTTTGCAAGAAGAATATCTTGTGGTACAAGTCTTGGACGTGGTTGAGCTTCTAGATCCATCATCCATATCACCTTAGGGAGCTTCTGGAGGTATAAAGTTCATACCTTGCTTATCTATTGCTTATATCTCTTCTTAAGCTTGTTTTGGTCCTTTTTAGTCCATTTTGGTTGGTCTTGAAGAGTTAAGACCATTTGAGATGTCAATCTTGCAGTTCTGGACGTTTAGTGGACTCCTTAAGCTTAAAGGTACAAACTTTATGGTGTTTGTGACCTCCATGAAAGTATTAAGTCATTTATTAAGCACTTTTGAGCTTTAGGACCTTATTGAGCGTTGCATGCACGTAAAGTTGGCAACTTTACGTGATAAACAACTTCAAGGTGATCAGATCTGAGACTTGGGGATAATGTCTTAACCAATTAAGAGCTAAAAAGCAAAGTTGCCATACCTGAGGAGTACACTTGTACGTGCATCGTACAGACCCTTAAGCATAAACACTTAGCGTACAAGCTGAGTACGCCCCGCGTACTCAACAATGGGTTGTGGTGTTTGGGCCTTCGATATTGGGTATCGTTTTGGGCCATAGGAGTTTAAGGGTTCACGTTGGGTCACCAAAATATCGTTTTGGGCCTTGTAGGCCATAGATCCCTTTTGTTATGAATGGACCGGTTAGGCCCATTAAAGGTAAAGTCTTTTGGGCCTCATTTTAGGAGTTTGGACTTAGGGGATTTGGACCCATAATTTGGGTTTTTGACCTAATTCTGATTAGGGTAATTTATATTCAGTCAGTGTGAGATTTACTGAGCGGTAGCTAAGTAGTTATTATTATCACCAGACCAAGGTGAGTCTCTTCCCGGTATTACGGCTCGAAGGCACCAAGGCCGACCCATTATCTGGTTATGTAGTATGCTAGTTGTTATGTGATACATGTTGTGATCGGGTTGAAATACACCTCAGGGCGGGGCCCAGTATGGCATGACGGGTTGAAATATACCCTAGGGCGGGGCCCACTGTGATATGTTTGGGTTGAAATATACCCCAGGGCGGGGCCCATACTTGCTTTTGGGTTGGGATGAACCCCAGGGCTGGGACCATTTATATGATTGGTATGTGTTATTTTGGGAAAACTCACTAAGTGTTAGCTTACAGTTTATATTGTGATTTCAGGTACTTTTGGTTCTAAGGGGAAGGGCCAGCTTGATGGCGCAGCATTCACTCTCCACCATTTTCCGCATTCACTGTTGTTGTCACTCTAATGATTTTATATGATGATGATTATGTATTGGATTTTGGAAGCAAACTTATGAATGTAATCTTTAATTAAAAATGAAAAAAAATCATATTTTTTTGGGTTGTTACAAGTTGGTATCAGAGCCTTGGTTTGAGGGATTCGGGCACACCCTCGGGTGTGTCAGAACTAAAACTGAGGAAATAATAATCTTTTCAAAAGAAAAAAAAAGAATTAGGATTTTCTGAAAAAGGTTTCCTTAAGTAACAAGGGAGAGTGTAATGTGTGCGATCGGTCGAGCTCAAGTAAGTGTTTCCCAAAATAACCCATGCTTATGAATTGTAACTAGTATGTTAATATGTGAAGTACATGCTAGAGTAGGGCTAAGGATACCTTCAGAATTTATGTGATAAAATTGTCTGATTTGTGTGATGCCTTGTAGCCTAGGAGGATTCGATGCTATATTACTTGGAATCAATGTTGACTCTGTTATTTGCTAAGTGTATGCTTTCAAAGTTATATATGCTTAGGATTGCATAGCCATAGAATGATGGATTCTGCCTCATCTCCTGTTCCTTGTTTGGTTGTGGACTTAGGGTAGAAACTTTATTTGACAGTCTATGTGATTCTATTTATGTATAACTTGCATGCATAAGGTAACCTACGATGTTGATTGAGGTTCTGGTTTTGTGAGGATTGAGAAATCCTAGAAGAGTCTAGGATATGTATGTGTTATGTTATATGGGTTATGTTTTGAGTATGGTTGGATGAATTAGAGGTATCAAGTATGACCTTGGGGAAGGTACAAGTAGGTGTGGAAAGTAGCATTGGGCCCGTACTACTGAAAGCACAGGACATGTACCTGAGACAAGGGCAGACCTAGAAACTCTAAGGAGTCCGGTGAGGAGGAATCCCTTTGAACTTCCTTATCGATTGATTTATATGTTGTGTTTTTCAGTTTGAGGATGGTGATGGCTACACGAGGAGGTTTAGGTTCGGGATCGGGCTCAGGATCGGGTTCAGGTTCCGGTGCAGAGTCGATTGATGAAAGGCTGCGCGAGCTTATCGCAGCTGAGATCACTCGCAACATCCTTGACACTACCCCAGTGATTTTCGGTACCGTTGAGGAGGATATCATGGAGATTATGGAGGAGAGGCTCAGGTCTTTCTGAGCCGAGATCGTTATGGGTCAGATTGGGACTTGAACTCCCTCATTCTGGGAGTTTAATGCGTACGAAGCACCTGAGTTCTTTGGGGCTAAGGACCTCATCGCTAGTCGCCACTGGATCGCTGACATGGAGAATGCTCAACGCACGAGCTTTTGCCCCGAGGTGGCAAAGGTGATATTCACGTCCTGTATGCTGAGGGACGGAGCATGAGACTGGTGATAGGAGGTTACCCATGAGGTAGGGTCGGCGGGTGTGGCAATGATGGCATGGGAGGATTTTTTACGGAGGTTTGATCGGAAGTTTTCATCGGCCATTGAGGTGCAACAGCTGGTGAGGGAGTTCCAGGACCTTCACCAGACTACAGAGACTATAGCGGAGATCACTGCTAAGTTCAGGGAGAGGGCACTGCTAGTTCCGCAGTACGCTGCAGATAAGGAGATGAGGAAGACGAGATATCATGCTATGTTGAGGGCTGATGTTAGGGAGTTTGTGAGTTTTTCAAGGTGCAAAACCCTGAACGATATGATTGAGAAGGCCCACGAGCGGGAAATTGAGTTGGAGATCTGGATGAAGTGGAAGACGGAGCAGGTTCAGAAGGCAGTGGGTCAGGCTAAAAAGCCCAAGACCTATGATGTTCATAGCAGAGGACAACGGGGCCAGGGACGATGCACCCAGTGCGGAAAGCCGCACGGTGGAGCTTGTCGATATGTGAGCTTCAGATGTTTCGGTTGTGGTCAGGCATCTCACATGAGCAATGGCTGCCCTAAGAGGGCCTTGATTTGTTTTCACTGCAACCAGACCGTCCATAAAAAGGCCGATTATCCGAGGTTGTTTGGTGGAGTTGAAACATCCATAAAATACAAGCTAAAAATTTTGTTTTCAAACTCATTTATCAAACATAGATATCATCGCCATAGGGTAAAACCATAAAACATGTATCCCGGAAACTCATAAAATCTGATAAACATATAACAGTCTCATAACAAACATCAGAGAAAACTCCCAGGCTAATCAAAGGTGGTGTGTGTGTATGTCATGCCATCAGCTCGAGCTCTTCCCTTTACTGGCTGAAGTACCTGAAACCAAAACTGAAACTGTAAGCACGAAGCTTAGTGAGCTCCCCCAAACTACCACATACCATACAAAGCACATATAACAAATAACATAACTCTGGGACTACTCCCAACTGCATCGGGACAAATCCCTGCATCGGCTTACCCGACATCGGACTCCTTCCTGGCATCGGGCTCACCCCGGCATCCGACCGCATTGGGCATCGGGCTCACCCCGACATCGGGCTTGCCCCAGCACATACACAACATAACATATATCATAAACACATAACATAATCACATGATCTGCATCGGGTTTGCCCCGGCATCAGACCGTATCCCGGAACATATAATCACATAGCATGTAAACTAACATACATCGGGCTTGCCCCGTCATCGGGCTTACCCCGGAGCACTTAACACATAACACATAACACATATACATGCATGAATCACAAAGACATCAAGCATCCTAAACTACTTCTCAGGACCGCCCCGACATCGGACCGAAGTCCGGAAACATATAAACTGCATCGGGCTAACCCCGACATCGGGCTCACCCCGGCATACTCTACACTTAAACGGGCCGGAATTGTGGCCGTAGACCCATTACTACTGGAAGGAAACTCACCTCGTAAAGCTGACTGTGAAATCTTGCGGTGAGGAATATCCGGTAACTGCCTCGGCGTCTCTCCGGCTATCAAAACATAATAATACATGGTCAATATCTGAAACTCCTTCCTAGGGTAAAATGACCATTTTACCCCTAATCAAAGTCAACGCTCTGGTCAAAGTCAATTCAAGGTCAACCCCAGTCAACTCAACTCGTCGAGTCATCTTCCTACTCGACGAGTCTCTGAAATGTTCTAACTCGTGGTCTACTGAGTCAACTCGTCGAGCCCTTCCACTGACTCGTCGAGTTTTGTCTGCAATAATCATCGGGACATTTCGACTCTACTTGTCGAGTCCCTCCTTGGACTCGTCGAGTCCTTTAGCTCCCTGGTTCTAATCTTGTTCAACTTACCGAGTCATCCCCCCTCCCTCCCAGCTCAAAGGTCTCATACACAACTAGAAAATATTGGGGGACTCGACACGACTCGCCGAGTCCGAAGAACAACTCGTCGAGTTCCTTGCATGCTCAAACCATACAGTTGATTCTAATGATTCCAATGCTTCTAAATCATAAATATGGACTCCTTAGGCTAGCA